TCTATTTTGGCTTCATACTCATTTTCTCCATTACTTTGTTTGATTAGACTATCAATCATTCATCCTATGGTTAATGCTTGCGAAAAATTTTCTTCCACAAAAAGTGTTGGTAAATTGTGAGGGGGTTGGTTAGCTTCACATGAAATTCCTTGGATCACATTTTTATTTTCATTAAAGACATGCTTAAATTTGTTGTTAGCCATTATTTCTAAGTCAATTTCTATGTAATCGCCCACTTTATAAGCAGTGAAAGGAAGACAATTGTGACAATAAATAAATTTGTATCCTCCATTTTGATAACTTATATGATTATCTAAGTGAAACAAAATTGGTCTTGTTGAACCATTTCTTACCTAATTAAGTCATCTAATTCCTAACACACTGGATTTTTTGTGCTAAATCGGCTTTTATTTTCATTTTCCCTCCTTGATTACTGAAGTTTATTTGACATATTTCTGATGTTGACAGTGTGAACAGTCTTTTTTAGTTTCAGTTTCTAATTCCGATAGTCTGTTAATAATTGCTTGTTTTTTTGGCTTTGATTTATTTATTTCACTAATTAAAGAAGTTAAGAATTGTTGTCTTTTATTCATAGAGAGTTTTCTTTCTCTTTTGTCCTAATCAATAACCAATTCCTAGCACAGAGACACCAGCAATTACTAAACCATCAATTAGTAAAGAATTACTGCTTTTTGGTTGGTGATTATTGAGAAATTAGTAGTACCATAAAGTCTGGAAATATAGCATCCCCTTTTTACATATGCGTAACATTTTTTTATATTGATGCTCAATTGTTTTAAAGTAGGGGGTGCTATCTTTGTAACTAATGAGAAATATGAGCATGTTGGGTGTTTCCATTTCTTACTAATTTATTAACATAAGCCAGTAAGTCCATTAAAACAATTCCTTTAAAAGAGTCAATTATAATTTTCTTTTCTTTAATCCTACTGATGAGTTTAGTTAATTGTTCACTAGTTAAATTATTAAGGTTTTTTGCCTTGACTATTTCATGATCATGTGCTAGTAGTCTAATAAATCAATGAAAAACATATAAATAGACCTTCTATCCCCCACTCCATATCAAAAAAAATACACCAATCCCTATAAAAAATAACATATGGGAAAACAGTACATGAACCATATATTTTCAGTCAATAATTTTATCTTTGTTGTTGAGAATAGTAGGGATATCAAAACCAGACATATATAGTGATTATAATATTTAGTGATTATAATATTTAGTGATTATAATTTATAGTGATTAGAGATTATAAGACTTATATACGATTTTGACAAGTTTATAGTATAGAATATTGCAAATCATTTTTGTTCAATATAATGATAGAACCAGGTTTATTTTTTTGTGAAGAAAAAAATAACAATAATAATATAATTGCTTGTGTAACATCATGTAGAACGCCCTTTCACTTTTTCTCAAATATCTCAAAATATTTATAAGCAAAGTGGATATAGTTACTAAGCTAAAAATGTTCTTTGTGATGAATTACATATAAAAATATTGTTAACTCAAAATCAACTTTTTGGTGACATGCCTCATTTCTATTGATCAGACCCCATATGTGAATTGTGAATTCACATAATTTCATTTTCATGTACAACAAAACAATGCTGTTTAAATTGATTACTACTTGTGTGATTGATTTAATCATTAACACCAAGGGAACAAAATTAATTATTTTACAAATAAAAGCTATTTGTTTATTTATTTACCAAATTTAAATGGTTTCTATTCATAATAATAATACTAGTAATAATACAATTTTGAGTTATTCAAATTATTAATTATTTGAGTTATTATTATTCATTTTATTCAAATAAATCTTATTCAAATAGAAACCCTAACTACTACTCACAAATAGCTTTAGAAATGTTTAACCAATAACTTAATTACAATATAAAAGAGCTATTTAACTAAAAAATAGGATTAATTTTAGAAGAATATCTGATAAATATCAGCATTTTCAATATTTACTAATAGGCTTTTAGACTATATATGAGATAAAAATACAAGAATATTATTATCTTATCAGTATGCCAATACCTCAATTATTTTTTTAAAGAATATTGGTCAGATATCAGGTTCTGATATTTACTGATACCCCATTACCCAATTTGGCATCATTCAACCAGTAAAAGAGAAACAATAGATTATACATAAGCAAAGAAAGATGGAACCCTAAATTAGCACAAAAAGATTTTAAATCATGTACAAACATAACAACTTGATGGCTTGATTGGCATAGTGGCGCAGTCTTGGATTCCATGCAATTTTTTTATTGTATATTTTAAATATAATTAATTATATATCTTTAATAAAACAAACATGACTTAGCTATTTAATCATTTCCTTGTATGTGAATGCCTTCATCCATCAAATCTTCATGATAGTCATGATTATTATGCAATACATTTGATATCATCATTGACATAACAAACAATTGCATCACCCAGGTAATGATACCAAGGCCATGCATAAACAAAGCTTTTAATAATGCCTGTCTACCCAGATCTCTGGGATTCACAATAATAAATTATTTTTCCCGATTATCAATTATGGTTCCTTATGAATAATAAATTGATGTTGATTGCAGGTGTCAGATTTAATTAAAACTTTCCTGTCACAAACATGCAATAACCATGCTTTCACATGCCCCATAACTGTGGAATTTTCTCCACAGGTGTGCTGCACACATGTTGGAAGGCTTTGGACAAAACTTTTCCCTTATCTCCCCCCTAAGACCAGGCTTGGCTGTCACCATGGGCATGAATATCAGTATTTGTGTGATGTGTGATTATTGCTTTGTGTTGTACCCCTGTAGAATAAAGTTGGTGTCTGCGACTGGTTTAAACTGGCTTGAAAATTCAGCAGCCCAGAAGGTTGCAACCTGGGTTGTTGCCTTGTATTTTCCCTGAATTCAGAGTTTTGAGTCCTGGGTTGCTGTAATTTTTATGAAAAGAAAAGTATTAATATTTAACAATTAATTATTTAAATGTTTATTTTGTTGAAAAAAACATACATGATAGTGTACATTTTCTGTGCTTAACATCCATGTGACCCTAAGTCTGGACAAAGAATCCCTTTCTATGAGTTTGGCTGGTATATCCCAAAGGCGTCCCCTGTCTTGTCAGTGGCATGCATACTCACCAACAACCCTACCCCCATTTACTAAAATAACAAATTCAGTTGGTCAGATAAAAATTAAAGAGAAGCAGAGGATTTAGGAATATGATTAATTTATAACATACCTAGGGATGGGAAAATGCAAGGATTTTTAAAATTTCATGCGCAACTTGCACATGATCTGCAGTGCAACTTTTTTTTCAAAAAATTTTATGTATTTATTTATTAAAAAAAATTAATTAAATGTTAAAAATATGTATTATCTAATAATTCATAATCACTTTCATTATTACTGCCATCATAATTATTCTCAACACTACCATCACTATCATCAACACTATAATCACCATCGTCACCATTATCATCACTAACCTCAATAACATCATTATCTTTACCTACGTTTGTAGCTTTATTTGGATTTTTTGGATTTTTCAATTTATTATTGAAATATATATAAACCAATTTAAAGGTACAATCATTTGTCAATTTATTTCGTTTTTTATCATGTATATAGGAGAATGTTGACCAATTCCTCTCAGATGCAGCTGATGAGGTAGGAATAGAAAGAACTCTTGCAGTAACATTTGTTAATTCAGGTGCTACAGCTCCAAAGTTTCCTTTCCACCAAGTTAATAAATCCACTTTATCAACTGATGCCCACGCCAATAAATTGTTAAATATTCCAGTGTGTGCTTTATATTGTAGAAATTGTTCCCAAATTTTAACAGAGTGATTAGGATAAAATTTTACAATAAAATCTGACAATAAATTCATACCATTTTCAGGTAATTTGTGATCGGAAATCCTAGGATTAAGAAGATAAGCAACTAACATTACAGGACTATATATTTTCTTCCATCTTTTTTTAATAATGTCCTTTATTTCATTATCAAAATTTGCTATTAAAAAAAAACAATTATTTAATAATAATTACAATAAAAATTACACATTTTTGAAATTAATCTAAGAATATTAAAAATATTATTACTTTGTGCATTTAAAAGATTCTGATACCACTCATAAAATAAGCCTAATTTTGGTTCATCAGATTCAAATAATTTAATACCAATAAACACTTTATTCAAAATACCATGAATTGAAATTATATTATCCCAGAATTCTCCACTTTGAATACTTGATTTTACATCAACATTTATATTACGAGATAATTCAGTAACAGTTAATTCTAGAGCCAATCGATTTTGTATTAATGATTCAAGACACATAACAGAAGAACCCCATCTAGTTTTTACTGGTAATTTTAACGAAGCTTGAGATTGATTATTATTTTGTTGGTATCTTTTAAAAACAGCTGATGGAATATTATGTGATTTAAAAAATTTTACAATACTTTTACTTTTTTTTAAAAAGCCATCAACCCAATCTAACTTGATAATATCACCAATTAAAAGATTCAAACTATGTGAAATACAACCTATATATATTATAGATGGATATTTTTCCATTAAAATACTCCATGCCTTCTTCATCACCTGTGCATTATCCGTTACCAGAGAAGAAAGTTTATTTATATCTAATATATTAATTATATTTTCAAGATCAGATGCTATATTATCACTTGTTTGGCAAATCTCTCCAGTAGTGTGGCTTTTATGAAAACAGGTGCAGGAGTAGTCAAAATATAATTAGTCCAGTGCTCTTGAGTGATACTTGACCTTAAAATTTTAAAATTTTTAATTTTATTTAAAAAAAAAAATATATACACACTTATAAAAAATAATTTAAGAACTTACCACCCATCTGAAACCAAACTATAATATTCAGCTTCCTCTATTAATTTATCAACTTCTTGTTTAGTTTCTTCGTATACATTATCTAATAGAGTGGTGGAAAGTTTTTTTCTTCCGGGTAATTTAAATGAAGGACGAGCTTTTGCCCATAAATTTTTAATTGGTGTTAATTCTGATAAAGAAAGAAAAAGCCCACACTGATAAATTGATTTTGCGAATAGAATTTCTAACTCGTCTTGTTCTTTTTTTGATATTTTATCAACAAAATAGTTTAATGATTGATTTTTTAAATACACTGATGATGACAGTGATAAAGATGATGATGTTGACGATGATGACAGTGATGATGTTGTTGATGATGACAGTGATGAAGAAGAAGAAGAAGATGATGATGAATTACTATCATTATTGTCATTAATTCCAAAACTCAAAAATGATTGTAAAACGTGTGTAGGTACATCTTTACATTTTTTAAAATGCACTTCACATCTTGTAGCAATTTCACATAATTCATAATTACAATATTTACATTTAACACGGTTTTGTTGAAACCCAATCACCCTGCCCAACTTTTCAAAATGCAACCAAATATTTTTATTAACCATTATAATTATTATTATAAATTTAGAATTTTTTTGTTACACACAATTCTCTATGGGAAAATGCAAGATTTTTAAAAATTGCATGCGCAAGTTGCGCAAGTCATGCACAAGCATGCGCAATGGAACATCCCTAACTGTATATATTTAAATCAATTAATATATCTACATTTGTAATTTTCTTAATCTGTGACCCATTGACCTGAACCAACTTGTTTGGAGCTCTAGTCATCTTTTTTTAGTTTAGGAGTGATGATTGTTTACAATTGCTGGCCAATTGCATTCTTTTTTTAAGAAAAACCAAGTTTTGGTATTCTCAAGTTCAAATGATCAATAAAGAACCTCTTCATAGAAGAGGTTCTCCTTTGTTGAAGAAAAGATGGTATGGAAAATTTTTGATCTTTTTGGGAACCATTTTTTTTTTTTTGTAAAATATCAAGTTCTTTTATCTATTTCATATTTCATCTCTGCTATTAAAAAAAGTCTTAGGAGACATAACTATAGAAATAACTTTATTTAGATAAACTTTGATTTTATCTGAGGATAATTGTAGATATAGAAAGCATTTGCAGAAATTGCAGACAATTGTGGATATTAATATGAAAAGTATTTGCAGACAATGTGGGCATTTAAGACATTTCCCGCAGTGTTGCAACATCAAGAGTTGCAGCGTTTTTAATCCTTTTTTCATATAAGCTTCCAGTGCCTGAGTATCATTTATTTTGAAAATGTAAGGGGCAATTTTTTCA